AACATACAAACAATCTGGAGAAAGATTTTTCAGTTAAAGATAGAGTTAAATATGCAGGTCTTTCTTTTGGCCTCAAATGTTATATATACTGTTATTTAGAAATGTATTCACATGACAAACCGGTAATCTACTCTCTAGAACATCGGATGGTTGCTATTTTCAGTGGATTAAAACACGGTCACCATTTAATAATTAAATTTAAAAATGTTATCATCGTAACATTGGTATTTGACAATCGAGACTATATCGCGAAAACTTCAAAGGCTGATTTCTTTACTCAAAATAAGGTAATTTGACTAAATAAAATTTTCAATAATTTCATTTATAATTTTCTATTTTTAAATTATTATAGCAAGAATACGGAAGACGGGTAGGGACATTCTAACTTCAAAGTTCCGACTTCTAACTTCTAAGTTCCAAGTTCCAACTTCCATGTTCCATGTTTCATTCTCCATTTTATCAGTAGCGCAGTGCGTGTAAGATTGTGTTAATAGCTTAAATAAAGCAAGTTTTTATCAATATTTATAGTTTATAAATACACTTAGTACAGGTGTCTAATACTAACTGACTTATATTCTTTTAAGGCGGAGGGGTGGCCGAATGGTTAGCTCGTGCGCGCTGTATCATAAGGTCTGTCATTGAGTCAACTGGCGTGGTTTCGATTCCCCGGTCGTTTGTGACAAGGAGTTGGCTAGCCTGTCCAACCCCGGGTTTTCTCCGGGTCGTCCGGACAGCGAAAGACCCCTACGCGTAAGCGAATAATTGAAAATAATTGATCCATATGTCACGAAATGACCTGGTTTGTGTGCTGTAAATCATTATTCGTTATTACAACTTGCAAGTATATTTGTAAATGTAATTATAACACAGATTGGAAATAGCAGCAATCAAATGAAATGGGGTTTAACGTCATACGGCACTGTACTTTCTCGAGGTTTATGAGAGCAATTTTGCCTGGACAGCGGCGCTACGACCAATTTATCGAATTCCATCAGGATCAAGGGATCTTTTACGTGCGCACCACGTAATGTCGCGTAAAAATGTCGTATTGTCGGGTTATCGGCCATATTCCTCTCAATACTATGATTATGTACATTGAAAGTTCCCCGGGATTTTGCAGCGTGGTTTGTTCATGTCGATAGTGCAGGACAAGGCGCCTGGCAAAGAACAGTGTCTAGTATTGTAGATGGGGTAAAAAAAAAACAAGCTCCTGTGTACACATTGGCGTGCATTTAAAAGAATCCTTCGTAGTTGAAATTCAACAAAGAAATGCCATGGGCCATTGAAAATTTTCGTCATATAACAGTGCATAACGTATGCCTATCTTCAATAGTCCGATTGGTTCGGAAAAGTAGGAAAATGAAATGAAATAAAATCGCTAGCCGGTGTGGTTTCCCCTTGTCAGAGGTACAGGGATTGCGGGGTTGGGGGGGGGGCATCTGTCAAAATCTAGACATTGCTGTAAACAGTGAAGTGAAAACCTCTTTTGGTTTAGTTCTTGATTATTAATCTCACATGAAGATGGAAATTATTCTTTTCTTAAAAATTAAAACTTGAAAAATATGATACAATAATCTGGTGAATAGAATGTGTGGTATTTTTCTCTACGGAAGGCTTCAGATCTTACATGTATTTTAATCAATCTTTCATTTATTGGTTTATTTTAACTGCAAGATAAATCTTTAAGTTTGGGAGCTTTTTCATTGAATATCCGTAGCCTCAGCGTGAATACAATAATTCTGGGGCCATATACATAATTGTTCCTGGTACATGTATATTATTAGTGTACATGACAGTCATTTATTCTACTTAAACTCAAGTCACATATTTTTGTATTTAATGAAGATTGTGCCACTAAAATATCAGCGCAAATTTTCATCAGCTCAAAGTCTCTGTCTTCGCCAAATAGTTGTTTAAGCTCATTCACGTGTTATTCTGGCTGTCTGGCCGTATTGCTATCACGTGATACTATGAACTTGGAACTTGGAATTTGGAACATGGAACATGGTCTTTCGTAGACACCTGTACTAAGTGTATTTATAAACTATAAATATTGATAAAAACTTGCTTTATTTAAGCTATTAACACAATCTTACACGAACTGCGCTACTGATAAAATGGAGAATGAAACATGGAACATGGAAGTTGGAAGTTGGAACTTAGAAGTCGGAACTTTGAAGTTGGAATGTCCCTACCCGTCTTTCGTACAAGAACGGTCAGCTCTTTATTTAAGTCTTATATAATGCATCTTTAAACTGCCTTAAAAAGAAAATACCATATTTGACAAATCAACAAAAACTATTTCTTAAATGGAATTCCATGTCAAAATTATCTTGCATGGCAAATATCAAGAAAACTTTCTTCTTTCCAGGGCGCCCGGCATCCGGAATCATAATGAATTTCTATAGCCCGAAAATATTTATATATATTTGTTTATCATTATAATAATGGTTAGCCTATTTATTTTATGATCAGTAGTTGAATACCGCGTTTTATCAGTGAAATAAAAGTGTTATTCCACTGGCTAGCAGTAGTCCATGTTGTTTTTGCCTAAAATGATTGTAAAATCATAAAATAAATAGAACATTTGTCGTTTTGTCGTGAATAACATATTTTATTTCATCTCTAAGCAAGAAAACGTTTATATTTTCACTCATGCTACGCATTCGTGAAAATATAAGTTTTCTTGCTTCTCGATGAAATAAAATATGTTATTCACTCTAAAACGACAAATATCCTCTATATATTAAAATGGATAATTTAAGACATAATAATAAAGAATTCTACGTTATTAATGTAAACATACTAAATTATGATACACTTGGCTAACTGGGCTAATAAAGAACTCTAAGTTATTAATGTAAACATACTAAATTATGATACACTGGGCTAACTTGGCACCAATAAGATCCATTCAGCTTTGGTGACTGAAAGATTTTATATCATTCCACTGGCAAATGAATATGAACCTGCTAAAATTCAACACCGTCTATGTTGCATTTTCCAATTATAGAAGATGAAGAAAAGGGAGAAAAAGAAGAAGAACGGGGAACTTTAGTGCATATAAAATTTTACAAGGGCAGATACCCGAGCAAACAAACGAACACAATTAATTATAGGTATAAGAGATACTATAGTAATGACATACACGATTGGAAAGCTCCTAAGCATTTTAATATTATAGTTCTACATATTTATTCTGCCACAGTGAATTGTTCAATTCATTGAAAGTTGGTTGTTGATATCAAATTAGTCTGAAGTATTTTTTTCTTCTTTCTGCGTGTATTTTAAATCATGTCCTCTACTTCCCATTGCATTACATTAACGATATTTACATATAAGTTAATATATCTTCCCGTTTCAATTCTAAATTTATGTGCGCTTATTCTCGGATTTGTCGGTGCTTTTCTATGTTTTCCATTTTGTTTAATGCATCTAGATAATTTTCATAATTGATATAATTATTATATATTTGCATATTATGTCTTTATTTAAAGAAGTTCCAACTGTACCTTTATTATTTAATTTTTGGGACAATCAATTGTCATGGTATGTTTTTAAGCCAATATTTGGTTGATTTTTTTATATTTTGGAAAGTTTTAATTTCATTTAGAGATACATTATGTAATATTTAGATAAAAAGCTGGTGGTTCTTGCTATAATACTTGTAGTTCAATAATAGATAATACGAAATGAATATATTGAAAATTTCATTCAAATTACTTTATTCTGAGCCTAGTTATGACTGTTTGTAGTTTTGACAATATGTGTGAATTGATTGTTTATTATGGTAACCACGGTACTGCTGGTCATTAAATGACTGAACCGTTCTAATCTACTTAAAGTCGGAACATCCGATGAGAGTTGATTATGGTCCTGTCATATTAATAATGTCTTTAAAATACAGATGTGCACGTCATCCTTTGATGTTGGCTTACCATTATTTATACTAGTTGGAATTTTGGACCTGCGTTACGTATTTCATTGCAAAGCACGTGCGAATGTCTGTATTTTAAGTTGTTTAATGGTCCCGAGCTTAAGACATTGCGTAATATATTGAAACAGCAGCCCTGGGTTGACGTCCCTCGTGTTGTTTCAATATATTACTTAATGTCTCGCTCAGGACCATTAAACCACACATAATAATTTATATATAACATTTAAGGCCTAAAGAAAGACCTGCAATAACCAGATTTGAATACTTTAACCCAAGCCTGAGTGGTAAGTTTGAGGTTGAAGGTTTTTTTTAATTCTTTCGTATATTAACCACACATTTAACAACAACCGCGTTCGAGTTACGTTGCGCTTAGAAGAGTAAAGGTAACGTCCGCGCTGATGCCACCAAATTCAGTCACAGGAGTTGAATAAACTAGACCGCAAAATATCAGAAACTTCCTATGACAGGCACCCCACATCACATGGCATGTGTTACGTATCTTAAAATCTTTCCAGTGCGGTATAGAAAACTTATCTTCAGCTATATGATATCTTATATTATGTATCTATCTATCTACGCATTAGTATACCCACAGGCGTAGGAGCTCAAAGTAATTCAGGGGGGCATAAGAGAAAATTGCCCGAAATCAATACCGTTTTTTCGGGCATACCTATCATAAGAGAGCTTCGGGCTTATTTTCGGGCATGCAGTGGACAAGAAAAAGACGAGAAAATACTTTTCGGACAGTGTGGATCTCATAGAAATAAGTTAGTTATATTTTTTCTCTAAACGTTAAATTAATAGAAAAAAAAGGTCGTCGAATTTTTCATTGCCCGAAAATAATTTTTTTGGGGGGCAAATGCCCCCCCCCCCCTGCCCCCCGGCTCCTACGCCTATGAGTATACCCCCTCCAGCCCCATATATAACAAAATGCTTTGTAATTTCGCGCGGTTTCGTAAAAATAGAACACAAAGCACCAGCCATGTAACTGAACTACTGGGTCAGAGTTGAGAAGATCTATTTGCATATGTATGTCCTCTGACCTCGTCAGCGTGCGAGTATTGAAACATGAATGAGGTACAAGTTATTTTGTGGATGTTTAGATGTTTTTACGGATTATCCATGTGAGATGTTTTAAAAGTAAAAATTCCGTGAAGAAATTAGGTGAGTGTAGTTATTTATCAGTCATTTTCTACAAGAGTTTAAAATTCTTTATTTGCTGTCTGCGTGCTGTGATAATGTTCTATACTCTCTACCGTCAGTACTCGAACGTAAATAAGAAACAAACATGGCGGAAAGCCTGACTTCTATGAGTTTGTAACAGTTTCCACCTCAATAAAAGTTACTTTACGAAGGATTTATGGTAGTTTTAGGTGGTTATTTTGGAGAAAATCTTTCCTACACACGACTGGTCAATGGGACTGCACTGTGTGTTGCATGTAAATACGAATATCATGATGCTAAAGTTGGGTTGTTTTGTTATCTTCTGTCAGATGTAGGGGATGTCTGCTGAAGCAATTATGGTGCCATCATTGTCTTATCTTTCTTGACACACTAGATAACCTTCATTCTTTCTTCTGTCCCAACGTAAAATGCACTGTGGCTAGAGATAGCATGAAAAAATATCCCCATTTCTTACTTATAACATAAAACTAGAATTTGTTCATAATATAATCCGTAGGAGGAGGTTAGATAGAATAACAATACAATTGATTAACTGTATACTATACACCCATAGATCAATACTTATAATATCGTTGTCAGATACAGTGTAACTTTATTAATTAATAATAATTTCATTAATTTCCACACTATTCATCCGTACTCTACATGACATAAACCACGCTTTGTATTATAAACATGGATAGGGGTTTATTATCAGTAGGCTACCATTATAGGGTGTAAGTTTAGGCTACTGTACTAGGGTGATCTTAGGGAAAGCACCATCTTGTATATTATCTGATACTTTCAATAACAAGTTGACTCCGTTACATTCTTCTCTTATATTTTTCTGTATTTCTGGATGGTTTGTTTGGTACATTAAATTGGGATGTTGAAGCCAGGAGAGTTGGGGGGGGGGGGGAACTGAGTACTGTACCAACACACATCTCTCACCAGTCTTTATGCTGCACAGTACCTGATATAGATTTATACAAGGTGGCTAAGTTATAAAGGATAAGACCTATTTACAACTTCAGTGACAGGTTTGGTTTTTACCATGAGTCTGGGTCTCCCTCTCCTCCCTAAACAAATTCAACTTGTCTTTTTTGTCCTTTGTTACTATGCAGAAAAATAACATTTACTAAAAAAAAAATCTTTCAATTGGAAAAGCCATTCCTTTTCAGGTGAGTTTTTGATGGTCGATGGATACAAAGTTCCAAGTTCTAAAAGTCCAGGAAATGTGTCCTACACCCAGTCGAAAACTGTATGGTTCTACACTTGCACTCTCAATTCTTAAAAATACATTCCAAAGATCCAAATGCATTCATTATGCAGGTCTGTTTTTATTGATTTGGCTGTTATTGACATTAAAGGAGCTAAATCGCTAACATTTGGGACCTAGAAATTGACAAAGTGGGTCGCAACTCATATAATACTGTAATATGAATGTATATAAACTGATTTACATTCAATGGTTTCCGTTTTTACTCTAATTTCAAATCAGTTATGTTTTGCGAAATAAGCCAGCAGTCTCAATTGAATGCAAATTTCTAGCGTCTGGTTATTCCAGTCTACATACGCCATTTGGTTTGGTGGAATATGTCTAGCCTCGTGCCTCGAGTCTTTTGCTAGAACTGGGGCTTAAACGCATTGTGGTACACGATTCGTCTACCAATGGTAACATGTTTATTTTGTCATAAATATTGGATATCAGAAGCCCTTCTTTTTCCGGTAAGATCACAGCATCAATGTTGATTTAAATTGACAAATAATTCGTGTTTTCAATGTTGAAGATTTTGGATAATATTGAGTTAGAGACTTAGCTACTTTAAAACTGTAATATAATAGTTCAACCTACAATTCAGCTGTAGGTGTATGATTCGTTGCCTGGCATCCTATCTTTAATCATAAATAGAACTGAATATCATGTTTTCGAACATTGTCGTCAATTGGGGTAGTATATGCAGTAAATAACATTGGACCTAACACAAGGCCTTGAGTAGCTACGAGAACGTAACTAAAAACACTGAGATATATACTGATGTGCTTGTTTTTAGCTACGATTGGATGCCTTTAGTTCCAAGTGGCAAACTCAATTTCTTTATTAATGCATGTACCATCTTAAAAATAAGTTAATTTTATACTATTAGTACTTATTACACATATGCAGTCCAATCTACTGAAACAACATTCATTTATCAGCAAATATTGACAATAAAGTAAATCAAGTGATATTTTTATCAAAATTGATTCGGACATTCATAATTACGGCGTATTACTACTGCGCAACTCTGATCAGATTAGTACTTTGATTGGCTATTGCACACGAGGCCCCGCCTTTATGTGTTACAGACGTAAATTTAAAATGTCGGAAAAAGCAATCTACTGTTGTTTTAATTTAAAAAGAGGGGATTTGTACCCGCTTCAGGTAGGATTATATGCTTAATTGTAGTTGGGTGTGGCAGAAATATTATAAATAACAATAATGAATCGTTGTTTTGATTAAAAATATTGTCAATTTTGTTTACAAATGCCCGGTGCGAATCGCTCCCGCATGTGCTACATTGACGTCAATAGCACCATTTCTTATCTCGAAACACAGAGGGTGGAGAGATAAGGTTTGTTATCTAGGCCTTGAGGAACAAAAAATGCAAGAGAACATGATGAAGATTGGTTGTCACCAATGGCTACTGACTGGGTTTGATTTATCGGATAGGAGCTAAACTATTCCAGAACGTTTTCTTGGATACCAAATAGTAAGAGATTTGAGATACCATCAATTTACCCACATGTACAAGTATTGTTTGTGTACTGTGCCAAGATCTATATATGATTATTTTCACTGAAGTGGATTTTCAGTTGATAAGCAGCTACTTTTCCAGAAATTTAGAGATGAAAGACATCTTTGGGAAATGACACTTTTAATGAATATGACACTTTTGTTGTTTAATAGGCCCACCTTTATTACCGGTATATTTCAGTAGCCAGATGGGTTTAGATCAAGTATACGGTACATGATTTAGGAGCAATTGATATCATTATCTTTCAAGGTGAAATTACTGAAAATTTGGATTCTTCTAAAGGTTCAGAAAGTGACAGGCTATTTGAAAGCTGAGCATTGAGGTAGAATGTTCAAACTTGGTGTAGGTGTCATAGGTGAATGCCTTGACAGAGTTTGATCATGCACATTTTCCACTTAAGCTAAGCAGAGATAAGCAATTTGATTGGATGGGACCATGGAACACGATAGCTTTGGTTCTAATTGGGTGAGAGCAAGAAAACTTTAAGTATAGATTCATTATATCAATACTTTGACTAAGTTCGATGATGAGGATATTCTGCTTAGCCTAATTAGCGATAAACAATTTGATTGGTCAAAACTATGGAACATAACAAGTCATGTTTAAGCATGATGTAGACGTCAATTAGATGAATGTCTTGACTGAGTTCAATGAAAACATTTCCCACAAAAGCTAAGCAGAGCTAAGCAATTTCATTGGTTGATGCTTTGATAACTTTGATTTTAACTGATGGAGAGTGATGAAACTTGGTGCGTAGGATCACAACCAGGTACTTCACCACGTTGACCGAGTTTGACCGTGAACATTTTATGCTGAGACTAAGTATAGATAATCAGTTTGATTGTTCAATACTTTTGAAAAAGATAAATGTGCAATTAATTAGTATATGTCATCTATTATTTTGGGATTTCACGGGGAGACATCAGCCTCACTGTTTGCTTTTTGTTTTTAATGTGTTGTCTAGAGATAAAGTTTTCATACTGTTCAAAAACATTTTGCATCACCTTTAGGAAGAATATTATGCGGGTTCTTAGAGTTCAGTGTAAATTTTTGTGAAATGAATTGATTTTTAGCTTTAGAGATTAGGTTTCTTGTATCAGTTTGTTACAATCTTTTGTTATTTCGACTGTTCCTTGAAATGAATATCACTAAATTAATTGTATCAAAAGTTTATGTTTGGGCTAATTCATGAACATTTTGTTTCGTACAACCGTGGATCTGTTTGTTTAAATGGCTGTTAGCTATAACTTTGGAATATGAATATTATATTTTAATGATTGAATACCAAGCATGTATAAAGATATAGTGCCATAGTGTCAGTTGAAAATATCAGAACTTTTATCTTACTGATCAATTTCAACAATGTAAACCTAACTGAATATAAGCTGATATGATCAACCTGGTCAAAATCTCGAACATCCGGAGTAGTGTAAACACATTATTATGGTCTAGAATGGAATTTTATACCATGCCTAAACATACCCACGTCAAGAGTTCACCACTTGCTTGTTATTGATATAATGATAGATATCCTAAAAAAAAAAAAGACTCTGGGATATGTAAAATCACAGCCATATTGCTCCAAAGATGCAAGAAGGATTGGTGTCATTACTGGTATACAGATATAGGCCTACCATTATTATAATGCTGTGTAAAATATCTTGAGCTGGTCCACACCTAAAACAAATTCATAAAAGGATTTTGGTGAAAAAACATTGATATGAAGTTGTGGATTTTTATGGTTTTTTTTATTGATATTGTTCATGTTTGTAATGTATGTGTTTGGTGAAAGGAGGACTGATTGCAGGATTTAATGTTTATTTTGTTATACATGTACATTTTTGATTATGTTCAGTCTCTACTTTTCAAATGACAAACTGTGAAATTTGGAGCTGTTGATATTGATTACTTGATTACATGTACAATGTAGGTATTACCATCTGAAAAGAATCCATAGTGCAATTAATTAATCTATTTATTTTGGGAATAAACCACAAGACATAAGCCTCAGGGTTGACTCAAGTTATGTTATACCATACATGAACATAAATATAAGAAATATAATCTCTTCTTTTGGTCACCATTTGGCGAAAATCTGGTAATTTCTATGTATGAGAAGTTGCCATACTGTTTAAAATCTTCTGATGTTTCGTCTAATTTGTGGTAGTCAAGTGTGTGGATAAATCATGTACATGTATTCCT